AAAATCAAGATTAAGCACATTATACCATGAAATTCATTATCAGCCTGACAAGTTTCTTGTGTAGTCGTCTTCTCGGAAGAGTGGGAGGGTGTGTAAGGAAAGTTCCGAACATACTTGATACAATAATCAAGATTTTAACTTTTTTTCCTTCGTGTCCATTGCACATTACATGGTATCGGTGTGTTACACTTGCTTCACGGTCATCTGTCAATGAGCTCTGATTATTTCCCTACAAATTTATAATCTCCACTAATTTCTGCCAATAATAGTTTCCTTTATTGTACAGTGTCTTCTCAGTGAATTGGAATTCCCAATAGGCTAATAGAAAGTCCAAAGCAACTCTTCTTTTTCTTCAATGTTTTAGGTATATAGAACCAATATTTAAAAAGGCTCAATCGAGTACTAAGGCATTTTATTCGGGACTAGAACAATAAAAGAGTTCAAAAGAATATAAAAATACGACAATACGCTCATTATATAGATCGTGAAAATAGAAAATAATAATTTCTCAAATAAGTAATCATCTAACAAAATTATAACTACTCAAAATTTTCTTGTATCATCCCTACTAACATGATCTCCAAGGGAATTGGTAAACAAAAAAATTAAAATTAAAAAAAAATAATAATAAAAGAATGTGTAAAAAAATTCTAGTTCATAAAAAAACTTAAAAAGCTAAAACCAATTACGAAATGTTAGATCAAACACCTTAGTTGACTTGAGGCTCTGGCTGGAGGCATGAGCCTAAAAAATGACCTTAAAGTTGCAGGTTTTGAGGCATTTTATGCTAGCCTCACGGGGATTCGAGGTTAGTTTTTTTAAACCATGCATATAACTGGAGTTGCAAAATCAAAATTGAAATGATTCATTCTAATTCAAAAACATTGCATTCAAGCGTTAGCAGTCAACAAATTTGATAGACGAGAAATGTAGATCATTAAACTTTTAAATGACTATTAGCAGAAGCTTACAGAATGAGCTAATTTGACAGTTCAAGAATCCGCCAAATATTCATAGAAATAAAATCTTAAACTGTATTCGAGAAAATTTCCAAAGCAGAATATGCATTGACGCACAAGTAAGGTATACAGAACATCATTGTTATAATACGTGGTCAACTGCTTTTTCTGCTAAATACTTTTGAAGTTTCCTAGCTAATCATTATATCCGTTCAGTAATTATAATCCTTCCTTACCAAGAAATAAAGGGAAGGAACTTTACAAATATAACTAGCTTGTTCCTTTTCTCCAAGTTGGGAACTGCAAAAACTTCTCAAAATTACCTGTTATTGTGAGTTCCTCGCCTTCTTTGCAGCAAAAAGTTGGCGAAGAAAAGCAAATTTCCCTCTTGCCCGAGCAGAAAACTCAGTGATAGAACCATTGCTTGTCATTGCTTCCTCAGAGAAGTTATGTTCGGGTAAAGATGGAGACTGTGGAGGAAGTGTGGAGAGGAATTCATTGAGCATCCGAACAATCTGACTGAAGCTGGGTCGCATATTAGGATCCTCAACCCAGCATGACTGTATAATAAATGCTAGATCTGTCGGGATGTCTTCTGAAAGATTAGGCCGCTCTTGCTGCAACATACAAAGTCATATTTGGTACAAAATACTTATACATTTTACCCAACCACATAATAACAATGACATAAATAACAAGTCATAGACAAATAATGGCAAGGGCGAAGATAACAAAATTGAGTTGTGAAGACTCAAAACAAGTCATGGTTTCCGATTTATACTATTTAATCACCTCATTCTTGGTAGGCAAGTAAAAATTATCAGTTGGCTAACCTATCCTACATTAACACACAAAAAAAGACACATAATTAAAGAAGCTGCCTCTCTCACGACAATTAGCTATCAAAAACTAGTGGCTTCATCAGACATAAAAAGTTGAGGCTTCTAAAAAATGTCCACCTTAGACGCCAGCACTAGCCTGGTTATCACAAGATTCAAACCACGACAGAGAAACTAAAGCTTTTCTAATATGCCCAAATGATAGATAATGGATGGTCGAAAGTAATCTTCATATAGTAGTCTTTCTAAAAGTCTTTGCTTCAGTATCAAACCAAGTCACTTAGGACCCCGGGAAACCAATTTATAATAAAATCAGATTTAAATGCTTAGTCAAACTTCCTTAATAATCAAGGTCCTTCATAGAGTTCATAATCTTGAAACAAGGAACAAATAATCAACAATTGAGTTATATCTGGAAAAGAAGTTGACAGCGCCTGAATTCCTCTTAATTTCATATGTTCAAAGTTTTAAAGACGATCATGCAACTGGCATGAATAATCTATACTTGGTCCTAATCGGTTCGACAAAACATTCTCCTGCACTGCACCTGATGATAATAGGAAAATGGATCAATCATGTCCCGAAACCAGGTGGAGATAAATGCCTTTTTCTATTGAAGCTAGTCTGCACCATTGTTAACAGTTTCGAAAAGATTCAGCGGGAGCTGGAAATAAGTAACTTAGCATTTGTAAGAATTAGCACAGTACCAAAAAAAGTCTAAAGCCCGGCTATGACTAACCGGCAAGTATCATAAACATGGATATGTTTATTTGTTTAGGAAGAATAGATATTTGAGCTTATCAATACTTGGTCCCAAAAATAAATATATCCAACTCTGGGTTTCAGCCTTTCAGGAAAGAACTCAGATTTCTAAATTTGTATCACAAACTCCCTAAGTTGCCCTCATTTTTAATATTAGGTGATGGTTCAATGCATATAAAAATAGCAATTGAATGAACAGAATCAATTGCTGATTTTTTTCATCAAATGGGTATCACTGCTATAAAAAAATTCCAGTGATTATTATTTTCATAGTGGGGTAGTATTGGTTAAGTTCATTTATTTTGCTGTAGGTTGCCATCTATTTGACATTACTTAAAATATCATGGAAGCCATTCAACTTGAGACAGAGAGAGAAATAGATTAACATGTCCAAATCTGAAGGCAGACACTTCATAATGTCTTAGTGATCAAGAAACAATCCATGAACAAATTACAGAATAAAATTCAGAGTGACTGGGATTACAACTACACTGAACATTCTGAATTTCGAAAGACAAATATCTGCTTTCTAGAAGTTAAATTTACCATGTTCTGCTGCTTTAGCTCTTTCCATCGTGGCTACTAGATACATGTTTCCCGTTTGTTTTGTTTTATAATACAGTGCTTGAAATCCCAAACTTGGAAGAATGTCAAAACAAGTAGAGATCATATCTAATTCTATTTCAAAGAATATTTATGTAATACAAACACAGATGATAGATTATGTATGCACCTTGAAAGCAGCAGCATAAGCAGCCTGCAAATTTGACATTCCCTCAAATGGCATGCGATTTGTCAGTAATTCCCACAGGACAATACCAAAACTGTAAACATCAACTTTGTTATTGTAGTGCTTCTTCTCCCCTTGACGTAGTGTCACGGTACTATACAACTGCAAAGTTCAATTAAGTCACTGATATTAACGATCAAACAAAAACAAGCAATACAATGTAACTAAACTGCAATATTTTTTTTAGAGCCTTTTTGTTTCCCACTTTTATAGTAAGAATGCATTTTGGAATAGTAGATTGATGGAGAATGTGTGGTTAAAAAATAAGAAAAAGTGTTAAATTTGCGTGTAGTATTATTTTATTGAATAATGTGTGATTGAAAAGAAGAGAGAAAAATGGGTATCAAACAAGGGCTTAGTTTCAAACCAGCAAATATAATAGAGGACCAAAACAGATTCAACAAAACAACGTAAAACTGGTTAAAATTTAATGGACACCCCTCAAATATTTGATATAATATGTTTAATACAAGTTCCAGAGAGAAAAAATAGTGGGTGCTGAATAAAATGAAAAAGAAATTACAGACCTCTGGTGCCATCCAACGATATGTCCCAGTTTCTGCAGTCATCATCTCAGTAACAGTTTCTTCTCTCGCAAGACCAAAATCAGCAAGCTTCACAGACTTGTGATTGGCAGTAAGCAACAAATTGTCTGCCCATAAATTTTCATAAACGTTCTCAGTTAGGAGAAAAATAAAACTTACATCAAACTACATGAAATTCCAAAGCAAAAGAGAGCGCATTGGCACACATTCTGCTGTCCGGTAATGTAAACATCAATTTATCAGGCATCAATTGCCTACAGTAAGAAATACATAAAGAAATTTCAAAATTGATTTAAACTCATCTATCTTTATTTCCCTCTTTCTCTCTTTTTCTTTGTCTGGGGATGTTAACATAACAACTCATACAATAGAAGTAAAAAAGAAAGAAATCACTACATGATGGGATATTCATTTTCTACTTGTTGTAAAATTACCACCTTCAAACTAACCCTTAAGAGTAACACTTAACATCAAATCCTGATTAAAAAATAAATAAAAATTATTAGAATCTAAATTGAAATAAAATTGTTCCAAACTACATGATATAACAATATTATAGATGAATAAAATCTTAAACAGCTCAGTGCCCCATCAGATACCAGGTTTTAAATCTCTATGTATAATCCCATTTGCATGTAAACAGTCCATAGCCCGAGCAATGTCAAGAGCAAAATTTAACACCACATGCATTTCCAACTGCTTTGGACGCACACTGGATAAATACTTTCGGAGTGACATTCCTGGTAAAAGTTCCGTGACTATCACCATCAAAGGGTCTTTACATGCTCCGATAAACTGCAAAGGATAACATTGTATTATGCTCAGAGTCAGTAATTAACAGAGAGAGTGTTTCTGACAAGCAGCTTGAAATCATACAGTCAGAAATGTGCACATTTTAACG